TTTTTTTTAAATAAAAGGCAATACAATTGTCCATTAAACCCTAAAAGAAAAAGTAGATATCAACTCAAGTTGCTTTAGCATTTTCCAGAGTGCATTTGTAGAGTACATCTGCTAATAATGAGGCACCTGTGAACACCTTACTTGTGGGTGCACTCAGCAGTGACATGTAGGAGCCACGAGGAAGGCCATGGATTTTTACCAGTTAGACAAAATCCCAGCTGGTAAATTGTCTCTAGTTCTTCTCCACTCACACCTCTGAGCTGTGAGGCTGCTCTTAAAAGATTGTCTAATGACACTATAAACTAATTGGAAAAATTGAGATTTGTCAAAGCAGGAGAAAAAAAAATTACTACATAACTACTTAATTTGATAATCACCATTTCTTGTGGTGTGGGCCACTATAGCCCTCATGTCCTTTGAAAAGACCCTCAAGCCATCGGAAATCTCTCATTGCCTCAGGAATCAGCACATATTTTATTCCCTGCCAAGAGAAAAATTATGGAGCAAAATAATCTTTAGTCTGTGGAGAGTATAAACAATATCACACTGTTGTCTTGTAAGTTTTACTACCTCATCATGAGGGGCAGACTTGTATCCATACTTCCCAAAAAAATAAGGTGATGCGGCGATGGAGTGCTCTGTGTGAACATACACTGATGTTCTATTTCCTACATCTTCCTCATAACCTTTGATAACGGCACCGTTCATCCTGCCAAACAGACACAATTCAGAAAGTTGATCTTTGGTTCAGTTTACGTTGATTTAATTGTAATGTTCAAAATCAGTCACTAGTTCAAGCAACAGCATTCAAATTGAAGGTAGTGTGATATACCTTTCATCTTATTATGCTTTTTGTTAGTGTCTGTTATATAGCAGCCTTTGTGCAAGGATTTCCTAAATGCATTCCCATAAGGTACAAGAGATTTCTTTTTTTGGAAATTAAAAGAAATAGTTAACTCAAAAGTATAAGTATGTTAAAAAATATTGGTTGTTATCTCAATATTTAAATTTAATAGCTAGAAATTTCAACTTTTGAGTAGGGATGCAAATGTTTGTGCAGGTTGGAACCTGGAGGTGTGTGTATAT